CCCATTCCTAAAACATAAAATTCATCCGTAAAACTTAACTTTACTTTCATGCTAGTCTCGCTTAAGTCTCTCTTGCTGCCGCCATCTTCACCATCTTCTTTCGTCGTCATCGGCACATCAGGTAAGAAGTGTAATTTATGTAGTTTAATGAGTAAGTATTGTATAGCATATTATATGTATATATATATATATAAATACTTATTGCAGTTTTGTGTAGGTAGTTTTTTTTTCTATGAAAATAACATTCAATTCAATGCTTCCAAATTAAGAAGTTACGAGATTATGATTGAGGTCATTAGACAATATGATTCTGGTTTGAGACCTACTAGTTATCATCACGGGAACCATTTCTTGAGGATGTTGTAAATGTAACAAATAAGTTGAAAGAAAGGCACATGGAAGCTTGGAAGTAATATGGGTGTTTCCTTATGTCAGATGGGTGGATAGACAAAAGAGGGCGACACTTGATAAATTTTCTTGTCAATAGTCTAGAGGGGACTTTTTTCTTAAAGTCTATTGATGCATCGTCAGCTGAGTCACATGATGCAAGAATGTTGGCTGATATGCTTGAAAAAAAAAAAAAAGGTTGAAATTGGCAAAGAGCTTGTTGTGCAAATTGTGACGGATAATATAGCAAATTATAAAATGGCAGGAAGATTATTAGAACAACGTATTCCTGGGTTTTTTTTTTTTTTTTTTTGACACCTTGTGCAGCTTATTGTATCGATCCCATGCTAGAAGACATTGGAAAAATGAATGAATTTAAACCCTACATTCAAAAGGGTAGGGATGTCACGACTTTTATGTATTGACATGGGAGAATTCTCAGTGCAATAAGGGAAAAACAGGTGGCAGAGATCCGGTGAGGTCGGAGTCTACCTGATTTTCTACCGCATTTCTCACTTTGCAAAGTTTAAACAAACATATGAATGACTTTAGGAGGTTATTTTGAGTGATTATTGGAGTGATAATAAGTTGTCGAAAACGTCAAAAGGCAAAAAGGTGATGGAAATCATTCTTTCATCAAATTTTTGGGATTAGGTAGAAGATTGTTTACAAGCAACACTTTTCCTTTTGATTGTTTTGAGGATAGTTGATGGTGATGAAAAGCCAACCATGTCTGAGCTTTCTTCGGCTATGAATCACGCGAATAAAAAAATAACTAAATCTTTTACGAGCAATAAGAAAACAAGGTTATTGGCCAAGTTGATGGAAATAATTGAGGATTGATGGAGCGATCAAATGAAGGTGTTCTATGAGGCTGCACTATTCTTAAATACTTCAAAATATTTTGAATTGAAGACGAGTGATCCCGTATTTGCTCATAAGAAATGTCAATTGTTTAATGATGTTCTAGAAAAGATGATCAAAGATAATGAGTTGATGAATAAGATTGATGATCAAGCAGATGATTACGATAAAATGCGATGAAATTTTGGCCGTCAATTGACAATCAAGCACCAAATGCAAAAGAGTCCTCTTAATTTTTTTTAACATATACATATATATTTATTTTCTATAAAACTTAAATTCAAATATTTAATATTTTTTTTCTTATAAATATATATATATATATATATATTAGTTGATTGGTGGGATGCATATAGTGGTGCAATGAAAAACTTCGATCATTTTCCATACAGACTATTAGTTTATGTTGCTTTTCTGTCGGTTGTGAGCGCAATTAGAGCACATTTGAATTTATAAGTAAATTTGTTCGAAATTTACTTATGTTAATATTTTAGTAATAATCTTCAAATTTTGATATAAAGTTTTATTTCTAAATTCATACCAAGAAGAGAAATAACTAGAGCATCAAAGGCTAAATGATTTAGTGTATGTTCAATAGAATCGGAAGAATGCACATCGCTTTCAAAAGCGGCAAAAAGAAGGAAAAACTTTTAATCCCTTAATTCTTGAAGAATTTCAATGGAACAATGAATGGATTGATGATTCTCGAAATTTGGTTCATAAGATGGAAATCTTTAGCGATGTCATGTTGATGAAGCTGTAGGTGTTTCAAATAATTTCAATACTTCCAACCTTTGTAGCAGAGGTGTTTGGTGAATCCTTAGGTCCGCACATCGTGTATGACGATCGCCATGGCCGTTTTGATAGATGTTTGGCAAATCACTACAAAAAAATAGTATATTTGTAACGGAATTCCGTTCCTAAAGTTCACGTAGCTAACGTAATTCCATCTCTAATTCCGTCTCTAATACCATTAGTAACGGAAAAAGTGTATTTAACAACGAAAAAAATTTGTTACAAAATTGATATTTTTTTGTAGTGAATGAAGATGAAGAAAATGACAGATATGAACACTTAAGACTAATATTAATTTGAGAAATTGAGGGATTTATTTTTCGTGTTTTGAAACTTACATATTTTGACATATTGGTATTTTAGCATTTTTGATATTTTGGTATTTTGATAATATCTCTATCCGACTCTAAAGATCTAATTTACTTTTTGAATATTGATCTTTAAATATTAATTATTATATCAGAACGTAGTAAAAATTTAAAATCAAATATGCAAAATTATTCTATTAGTGTCTTCTAATACTAATAGATGTACATTTGTACAAAAAAATTATACAAAAAATTATACAAATATAAGGATATTTTTAATATTAATACAATGATGCAAAAGGTAAATGTAACCCTTAGAGAATGACGAAATATTTTATTTGAAACATAGTAATTTGATACTCCCTCCGTCCACAAAAAAAGTATACAATTACTTTTGGCGCGGTGTTTAAGAAATAATAGTATTTTAATTATAGTGGGTAGTTAAAAGTAGTGTAATAACATTTTTGCCCTTGCTTTTTGGTGTAAAAGTAATGATGTGATGTAAAGTAGGGATATTTGTGGAAAAAAGTAAGGTATTTAATGAAATGTTTACTTTGTAGTTGGACGTCCCAAAATAGAAACATGTATACTTTCTAGCTGGACGGAGGGAGTATTATAATTTTATATTATATAATTAAATATTAAAAACTTATAATAGGCAAGTCGCCGATATTGTCGTCATTTCAGATTCCGTATCGCCTAGACGATATGACAATCTGATGGCGTCGTGTCTAAATCCCGGCCCTAACAACCTTGCACACTACAAAAACATTTATCCTATCACATATTTATTACTACATACATACATACATACACGTTTTCATACATACACAATATCCTTATATTATATTCATCACTTACTTGAATATTTACATAATAATAATAATAATATGTAAAGGAGTAACTAATTAGACTGTTCGATTTCTCTAGAGAACCGACAGTTTAGAAAGTAGCACACAACGCGCAATTTGCCTAATTTGATCAAGAAAACGTGTATATAAAAGCATTTTGAAGCCAACAATCAGGCACTTCCCCAAATGCTAATTTCCACATTGTTAACCAAGGAAACAAAGCAACATTCTTTTTAAATTTGATTTTGTTTTTATATTTTACTTAAACACTGTGTTAGATGTAATACTTTTTTTAAAAAAAAAAAAAAAAAAGAATCTAAAACCAAATCCTAAAAATCAGAACCATAATAGCTACCATGTATATAACTAAAATAAATTTAAATTGCTAGCAGTAGCAGTAGCAGTAGCAGTAGCAGGTTGAAATGAGACAGATAGAGGGCATGGTTCGCCGGATCGGCCGAGTCCGGTCCGACTCGGCCGATCCGGAACCGGAACGGTCCGGTTCATCAAAAATATCCGATATTTGCCCAAAATTTTTCCATCCATTCATATCTTATCTATAAAACCCATTACAAATCTTATTCTTACCGATTTTCTACTTTTTATTCATATTATTCGAACAATTCATCTCAATTCGATCAGATCGGAGAAGAAAACATTTACCAGTGCGCTGAAAAAGAATCGTGGAGGAAAGACCTCTGTTCTGCGTTCGCGTCTGAAGAAGAATTGTGGGGGAGGGGAAGAAGAAGTGGGAGGATTCTGCGTTCACGTCGGTGAAGAAAATCGTGGGGGATGCGTTCGCGTCTGAAGAAGAATTGTGGGGGATGCGTTCGCGTCTGAAGAAGAATTGTGGGGGAGGGGAAGAAGAAGTGGGAGGATTCTGCGTCGGTGAAGAAAATCGTGGGGGAGGGGATTCTGCGTCGGTGAAGAAAATCGTGGGGAAGAAAATCGTGGGGGAGGGGATTCTGCGTCGGTGAAGAAAATCGTGGGGGAGGATTCTGCGTCGGTGAAGATAATTTGAATTATTTTTTATTAATTTGTTTATTTAATTTATAGGTTTAATTATTTTAGATTTAATTATTTAGAATAATTTGTTTAATTTATTGATAAATTTAATTTAATTGTGTTGGATTGTATTTAATTTTTATTTAATCTATATAAATTGAGTTCATTAAAATTAATATTTTAGAATAACTTATAATCTTATTATTTAAAATTAATATTATTTTAGACAAAATTTGTATTAATTGTAAATTTATTGTAAAAAATTAATATTTTAACTATATTTTTTATATAAACAAATTAGTTATCTACTTAAATTTTTGTATAAGTTTGATTTATTAATAAACTAATATATAATTTGTCTATTTAATTAATGAATTACTATTTATAAATATTTTAACAATTGTATTATTCAATTACAGAGTTTGTGTAAAATGGCACCGCACAGAGATATTGGTTGGGATCATGCTACTCCTATCAGCAATGATAGAAAACAAGCAAAATGCAATTATTGTGGTAAAATTGTTCACGGCGGAATTACTAGGATGAAACAACATATAGCACATGTTACAGGTCAAGTTGAAGCATGCACGAGAGCTCCAAAAGAAATAAGAGAGTTATTAAAAAAACACTTGATCCAAGGAAAAAGTATGCGAGCAACACATAAAAAAAAGTTAGAAGCATTGCAAAATTCCATTCGTTGGAAGATGATTCTGATGAGGAAGAAGATGAAGTTTTTGAAATAAATGAAGATGAGATAGATGCTATTGAAAGAAAACACTTAAAAAGAGCAATGGCTGAAAGCAGAAATATGGAATTTATGGAGCAGCAGCGTAGACATTCTGTTTCCGGAGATCTACCAAGCTTGAATTTTAAAGCCGGTATATTTATTAAATTTATAAAATATATTTAAATATTAGTATATTTTTTTTGAGATAACAACCATATATGATCATATGCTTTTTTTTTTTTTTATCTTTGTAGGAGGAAGCAGCTCGAATACAAAAGGAAGTAGAAGAAATTTTTTCGAAAGCTCTATGAAAAAGACAGAAGGTTTGCATCAAAAAAAACTTGATCCATACATGTTTCAATCGAAGAATAAGTCTTTGAAAAATATGTTTTCAAAAGATAATGCAAAAAAAATGGGTAGAGCAATTTCGAAATTTTTTCATTTTAATGCAATACCATTTCACGCTGCCGATAGTGGTCCTTACTACCAAACGATGATTGACACGATTGCATCGGTTGGACCTGGAGTTAAAGGACCTACTGGTAAACAAATTGGTGGTGAATATTTAAACGAGGAGATGCAAGAAGTTGTACAGTATGTTGATTCTTTAAAGCAGAAATGGAAAACATACGGATGTACAATTATGTGTGATGGTTGGAGTACTCGTACAAAACATCCAATCATAAATTTTATGGTGTACTGTGATAGAGATATGATATATCACAGTTCGGTTGATTGTACAAATAAGGCGAAGACTGCGGACTTTGTCTACACCCTAATGGATAAGGTGGTGGAATCAGTAGGGGTTGACAATATTGTACAAATTGTAACTGATAGTGAAGCTAGTATGAAGGCGGCTGGGAAAAAACTGATGAGGAAAAGGAAGCACATTTTTTGGTCTCCATGCGCAGCGCATTGCATTGATTTGATGTTAGAAGACATCGGAGATATATTGTCAGTGAAAGATACGATAAAAGAAGCCAGAAGAATTACAGGATTTATATACAACAGTGATAAAGTGGTTAATTTGATGAAAACATATACGAATGGCCGAGATCTGTTGCGACCAGGCATAACAAGATTTGCAACCGAGTTTGTTGCAATGGAAAGTCTTCTGAGATATGCAACCGATTTGAAAAGAATGTGTACTTCTAGAGAATGGGTTGAGTACAATAATACCTCGAGGAGAAGACATGAAGCCGGAGATATATCAGACTTGATTTTGAATGAAAGATTTTGGAAACGGATACGCCGAGTCTGTGGGGTCATGGAACCCTTAGTGAAGGTTTTAAAAGTAGTTGATCAAGATAAAAAACCTACACTACCTATCATTTATGAGGCAATGGATAGGGCAAAAATGGCAATAAAAACCGCAGTGAAAGATTTTCAACAATATTGGGATATCATCGATGAAAGATGGTATAATCAATTGCATCAAGATTTGCATGCAGCAGGTAACTATTCTTGTTATTTTTTTGTTTTTATATTGTGCTAATCGTTTGTTTTATTTTTTAATTTTATATACATTTCATGCAGCTTATTTTTTAAATCATGGTCTTCAATACTCCGGCACTTGTGAATTTGATTCATCGGAGGTTCGAAAAGGAGTAAAAGAAGTTATCAAAAGACTCGAGCCAGATTTGGATATACAAGTAAAGGCTATGAATGAGGTAAATTATGTGAAATTTATAAATAATATATGAATATATATATATTAATTTCTAATAATTTTACTATTATATTGTCTATAGATAAACATATTTGTTAACAAAATTGGAGAGTTTGGAAGTGCACTTGCTATTAGAGCTGTATCTACATCTTTACCAGGTATGTATTATAAAATTTATCATTTAATTATATTTTTAAATATACTTGTTATAAAATGTTGCATTATTAATAATTTTTTATTTATTTTTAATAGCTGACTGGTGGAATATGTACGGTGATGAAGCTCCTAATTTAAGAAAAATTGCATTAAAAGTTTTGAGTCAAACTTGCACATCATCGGGTTGTGAGCGGAATTGGAGTACGTGGGCTTTGATCCATACTAAACTTCGGAATAGATTAGCTATTGAGAAACTGCATAAGCTAGTCTATGTCCACTACAACATGCGTCTTCGGGTAAAAAATTTTATGCAAAGGACAGACACAGACGATTTTTATGACCCAATTGATTTGAATCATATTTTTGATGAAAATGATATTTTAGATGAATGGGTTAGAGAAAATGAATCTCCACTTATTCGTGATAGTGATTTGAATTGGTTGGATGAGGCTATTGAAGAAAGTGGAGATCGAGGTCAAAGTGAGCATAATGATCATGACAGTGATATGCTTTTATCTCAATTTATAGCTGATGGAAAAAAGAAGGCGAAAGAGAAAAAATCAGAAAACAAAAATACAGCCAAGAAAAAGAAAGCAATCATATTGGAATCTTCATCTTCATCGACTAATGGTGAAGATAAGAATAATAACAATGATGATGATGATGATGATGATGATGATGATGATGATGATGGTGGTGGTGGTGGTGGTGGTGGTGGTGGTGGTGGTGGTAGTGGGAGCTACAGGGATAGCCGATACTCAAGTGATATGGGATGGGCTCAAGGAAATGAAAATTATTATGCTACCCAAGACACTGATCATGGATATCGTCCTGGTATAGAAGCTCAAAGAGATTTTCTAAATAGTTTAACAGAATTTTCAAGTGAAGCCGATGCTTCAAATTTTTCAGATACTAGGAGATATTCTGGAGTTCACGAACATATGCAAGACTTGAATATAGGTTATTCCTATGGAGATTCTTCTCATAGCTCGAGTAATAGATTGGGGAGACAGGAGTGAGACCAACCAAATGCATATCATAATCCCTATTACTCAGGATACGGTTTATCTAATCTACCCAGACATCTTCAGGATTCAGCCAATCTTCCTATATTTGGATCCAACCAACCAGTTGGAACATATTACGGAGGGATTACATCTGGTTCGGGTAGTATTGATGATCGTAGACAAAATTATGGTTCATCAAGCAGAAGCAATGATAATAGAGAATATCGAGGTTTTGATGTATATGGAAGGGGTTCATTCAGAGAAAATCAATATGGTTCGAACATCTCTCCTTATCCAAGCAATATGAATCCAGATGAAAATGATTTTGAACCTCCACGACATTCCACATGGTATTGAATGGTAAGTATAAATATTTAGTATAAACGTAGTTTGAACATTTTATAAAATTTTATTTGTATTTTTTTTCTAATTATTTTTATTTATATAATGCAGATGATAAAGATGAAATCTTGACATTGACGGACACAAGGTACATCATTTTGTTATTAAAATAAATTTATTAGTATAATGACAATATGCAAAACATAAAATTTAGCATTTACATTTATATATATATCCGCTAATTTAGTTGAAATATTATTCATTTTAAATTTTGATCTATTATAAATTATAATATATTTTTTCAATAATATATATTTTTAAATTAATTATATTTATAATTTGATGTATTTTAATTAATTATTTATTATTTTTTTGAAAAAATATAAATTTTATATAAAAAAATCATATAGGCCGATATTTGACCGATACACCGCGACCGATACGCCGCGACGTATCTGGAACGGTAAAGGCCGATCCGCGACGCCGATCCGCGACGGCGAACCATGATAGAGGGGCTCTACCCGATTATAAAAATTGAATTTTCGAATCAAGACCCAAGATACTAACTAAACTACTGAGATAACATGAAGGGAAAGAAACCTGGTAGCATATACATACATAGATATACATACATGCAGTTACAAGGATATCCATCCCCACTGACTACTACTACAATTCAATTCAATAAACTTGTTAATAAATTAAAAACAGCTTCCCCACAGGCAAGAACTAATCGAAGAGGCGAGAAAAAAATAAAATGGTTAAAAGGCCTTTGTCGTCTGTCTCAAATCTCCTTTGGAGACTTGAGAATTTCTTACCATGTATGTATGTATGTATGTATGTATGTATGTATCCATGCACCTGAGACCTGAGAATGTCTAACAAAAACAATATATATTTTCTCATTCTACCTTAGCTCTGCCTTCCTCTGGCTGCGGCTTTTTAGGTTCCGCCGGGAAGTACTTCACCCCTACCAAATCACCCACTTCGCTGATGACCTAAGATAAGGAATAAATACAGCTTTTCAGGATAGGATAATTGGAGATATGATGGTAATCTGCAATATATACTTTTCAGGAATGTATTCTATGATTTATACGATGAAGTTAAACAATTTTGTGTTCATAATTGCACGCATTTAATCATATCCATATGAGACTCGGCATATTAAGATATCTTGCAAAATTTTCTCTACAGACTATACTTTCATGCTACGCAAATCATAGAATAATTCGTCCCATCGTTGAAAGTAAATTGGCATATATTGCAATGATATTAGAGATTATTAACCAGGGAAAGAAGAGTTCGAAAGAGAAGTGATTAGAAAGGATGAGTAAACTTGAGAGCAATCAAATAGTAGTATTGTAACCTCTAAAGCTCTTTTGAGATCTTCGTGGGTATGAGCAGCAGAAATACAAATGCGTGCACGGGCCAATAATAAAGGAGTGGCAGGAAAAGCAACAGTAACAACAGCCACCTGCAATGCAAATTATTATCAGAGGGCACATGGAAGAATAATTGAGGCGTAAAAAGTAAAGATAGATGAGATCATTCATCAGAACACAAGAAGTCTCACATTCCGTTTGAGGCATTCACGTGAAAAGGCAGGAATTTTTGCAGGATTATAGAGCATTATAGGCATCACAGGGGAGTTGTTATCACCCAAAACCTCGAAACCCATCTTGTGCAATTCAGACCTGAAAAAGTCACTGTTCTCGCGGATCCTTGTTAATTTCTGAGCCCCTAAATTGACATAAATACACTGAAATATGTAAGCAATAAGACAGGGAAAACAACACTGACACCAAGTGATGTTATAATAAACAAACAGCATATGAACTCCCACCTCTGCTAGAACCATCCTCCCCAAGTATAACCTTTATCGAAGAGATAATCTGCTGTGCGGCTGGTGGAGATACTGATGTCCCATAGAGATGGGCAGGGCAGTTGTATTTCAAGTATCGGATAAGTTCCTTGAAAATAGCAAAACAAAGGTCACCAAAGTGTGATACAGCAAGAGTTTCTAACCATGTCAAGTGCCACAGCAAAGAAATAAACTTCCATATGTGCAATTTGTTTACGTTGTTTGTGACAACATGCCCATATATTTCAATTTCTGTAAACAAACAATTGATAGTAACTATTATCCTTTCTTTAATCTGCTGATTTGAGAAATTAAGTTCATATAGCTTTGTACATGCACACAGCAAGAACGCAAAAATTTATGGAAATTCCTGCACGCATTGATATACTCATATAGAAAGACAATTCTTCCAGTAGCGTAATTAAGGTTGTGCTTAGGAGAGCTTCTATGCAGAGGGGTGAAAAAAAAAAAACATGATAAAGTTCTACCTAAATTTGTTATCCAAAGCTTACAAGCTAAACAAACAACCCTGTACTCTCAAACCCATTACATAAAGTAGTTAGAAATTTCTACTTTAGAAGTTATATGTATATTGAAATTATTGGACATTGTTCTATACTTTCATTAGAATATATATACTAACAACTAAATACTCCACCAAGTAAACAAACTCTTTTATGATAAAATAAAGATAATTATTAATTATTTTTATATATATAAGAAAATCTCAGTAATTATTAATTGCTATTTTACTATGTTTAAGGGTGCATTTGGTCTGTGTTTTGTTTTGGGTTTAAATGCGATGTTTTATGAACATAAACAGTATATTTTTATAGAAACAGCGGGAGAGTAAATAGTAAAGAAACTGAAAAAATTCTCTAAAAAAACAACAAAGCCAAGTATTTGTACACTTACTTGAAAATAGCTCATATACAAATATTATTAAAAGTTACTTACACATTTTAACATTCCACGTCTAATCTAGTCACGGGTTACCACCAACACTCTAATCACAACAATATTGTACAACCATTCTATTTTTATTTAACGAAAAGCAAAAGGTACTCATCTATAAAATATCACATTCTATAAGCTTATATATGAATTGATAAGATATAGAAGAAGTATGTAAGACATTCTAAATACACTCTTCCAAACATACTTTACTTAGTGTTAACTGTTCTTTTTTTTTTTTTTCCAAAAAAAAAAAAAAGACTTTTCAATTAATTTTCCTCCAAAAAATCACATCTAACAATTATTTCAATTAAAAAACATCAAAACTAAAATGAGACGGACAAAACAGATAAAAAATAGAAAATAAAATGAAAACATTATGCATATTATCGTATACTTCCGTTAGGAACCCATGAAACAAACCTTTGATCCTGCTATGTATCCACCACACGATCCAAATGATTTAGTAAAAGTTCCCATCATAACATCCACATCTGCAGTATCAACACCTAGGAGTTCACAGACACCCCTTCCAGTTTTTCCAACTGCTCCAATGCTGTGAGCCTCATCCAAATAAATATAAGCCTGTTACAAAATCAAACCATGAGAAAAAGAAGATAGATTAGTTTTTAAGAAGAAAAAAGCTAGTTTAGTTAAATACATAAGAAGTGTAAATAATACTAATAAAAAATAAATAAATAACTAATGTGAAAAATCAAAAGTTTCATTCTTATTTTTCATGAATATACACACTTTAAAGCATGCCAATCTTCATACATTTAAATACTTCATAAAGTGTGTAATCAGATCCTACGGCCAAATGAGCCTGGACATGAAAAAATCTTTTCATATTCCCCAGCCTTCACCCCATGTTTGGCTAATAACAGAGTATATGCTTGTGCAAAGCAATCATAGAAGAAATGATATCCCAAATAGATCTCAACCTTGTACTTTTTGCATATGGCGACAATTTCAGGAAGCTTGCACAGTTCCCCTTCCATGCTATAAATTCCCTCCACCACAACAATTATTTTTTTCCATGGTCTGTGAGTCCTGGGCTGTCCCTCAGCAATTTGTTCCCTCAACACGCTCTCCAAATGGGACGGTACTACAGAAAAGAAGATTAACAATAAGTGGCATGCCACCAATAAATTGATCCATTTTCTTAATAAATACTGGGTCAACATATAAATTTTAAACTTACTGTTGTGCTGAAAAACTCTAATGGTGGCCCCAGATCCTCGGGCTCCATTAACTATTGAATTATGGTTCAAAGAATCGCTGATAATCAACCCTCCCTGCAAACACCCAAGAAAACTAAAGATGCCAAACATCACAGTAATATTATCTATTAACCACTTTTACCTTCCCAATCAACACTGGAAGAATGGCAGAATTTGTTACATATCCCATTCCGAAAACTAATGCAGCTGGTTTTTGTACAAAATTCGCAACACATTCCTCGAGCTCAGCATGCAATTTAGTTGTGCCTGATCACATAATATAAGCAACAACATTGACATTAGTACCTAAATTATTTTCAAGAAGAAAAAAATATTGTCATCAGGAAATACAATTTACCTCCATCAACACGACAACTACAGGTGCTTGCAGAAAAACTCTTCAAGGATTCAATGGCACGAGGTGTGCAGAATTCATCAGCCGCTGCAAATCCTAGGTAGTTATATGATCCCAAGTTGAGGCATCGATTGACTTTTGTTGTTCGCCTACAAGGTAATTCATAGCCAGGGTGATATACAACTGTGAAAATTTCTAAATTTTTGTTCATCATTTGAATACAACATAAACATTTACATTTACATTTCTACCACCACCTGCGATATAAAATCACAGGAAATGACTGGTCACCAAATTACACAACCATGACAATATTTAGAATGTAGTAATTAGCAAGAGAAAAGAAACTGCAATATACTGAATGTCGACATGAAACTAAATCCGTACTTTAATGTTTTGTTATTGTCATAGGAGATACGTTCCACCACATCAAACCAAGCATCAGGAGAGCTTGATATGGGTCTGTTAAAGCAATCCTGCAAATAATGGGGGATTCTTGATTAAGAAAAAAAAAAAAAAAAGAAAAAGCATAAAAGACAGCCTTTCTCTAATGTAGATAACAAATTGTACAATTCCATATAAAGTTAATTTTTTTCGCTATGTTCAGCCGTTGTTTCAAGCCAAAGGAAGCTCAGACTCGTTTAAGATTCATACTCCCAACTGGTGACTTTTATTTGGCACTTGTTATGATCTTCCCTTTTGCTCCTAAAATATTAGAATGTAGGTGAAAGATGGATCGATTCAGACACTTCCCTCTCTTCTTCTGCGATTTCCTTCCGAGATAAGAAATGAATAGCGTTTACATCCAGCATTAATCACCACTTTTTTCAGCATTCAATTCACAAACGAAACAATTGAACCAAAACATGACTCGACAACTTGTCAAACACCACAGAAACCAAAACCAAAAGTATGAAAAAAAAAAAAAAAAAAAAAAAAAAAAAAAAAAAAAAAGAAAGAAGTATGAAAAGCACCTGAATTCTCAAATATAATCGCCGAATGTAGAAATCCTCGAGCCCCAAACAGATCGGCGCATAGCCCTTCGTTTCCGAAAAACAAACACGTCAACGAATTGAGGGAAGCATCAGCATACCACAACAACACACGCAACCCAACGCGGCGCACAATGCATATACCTGGAGAGTGTTATGCGACCACCAATCGATGATCTTCCTGAAAAAATCGCGCAGCTGGCCGAACGCAAAAAGGAGGCCGTAGCTAAAGTATGTTGTTAAGGCGGTAAGGTAGGGGATCGTGATCATCTCGGACCGGAAGGAGGCGGCGGCGGCGGCGACCTGATCTGGACGCGGCGGAGGAGAGGAGATTGAATCACACAGCACGAGAGAGAGAGAGAGAGAGAGAGAGAGAGAGAGGAGGTGATTGGCTGTGACTTCTTTTCTTTCTTTACGGGCCTTCTCCTTTTTTTACTAATTATTATTGTTATCATTAATCTAATCTTAACTCAAATTTTCTTCCCACGTTATTAAATTAACTAACATCCAAAGATAAGATCAATTTCGCAAAATCAAAAGCTTGTTTGCACGTAAATTTTTTTGTATTTTTTAAAATTGTTATTGGTGAAATAATTTTTTAGATGTCCCAGTAAAATAATAATTGTCAGACTTACTTTAAAAAAAAATAATATATAAAATATTTTTTTATTAATTTTAGATGCTGAAAAAAATAATAATATATATTTTTATTAAGAAATGTGAATATATTTATTAAGAGTGATGTAAAATATAAAATAATAAAATTTTTGTATATATATTTATTATATTCCCTCCGTTTCAATACAATAGTCCTATTTACTTTTCCATTATTGTTACACAATTTTTACTACTTTTTGCACTAATACACTCGCAATGGCAAAAAAATTTTTTACCTACTATCAATATAATATCAATATTCATTAAATCAGGTGTCCAACACAACCAAAACTATAATTCTAAGACGGAGGAAGTATTAATTATTTATTAATTTATTATATTTATAATTTTTAATAAATGTATTCTATTTTATTTAGTTTTAATATAAAAATAAAATAATAATAGAAACATAATTATAGTTTACAAATAAACTTAATTATATATAAAAATTAATCAATTTAAATTTATAAAAATAATGTTATAATTTAATAAATAATATATTGAAATAATTTATAATTATTGCAGTAGAAAATATATTTATATGCATGTGAAATAAATAATAACATGTTAAAGGCAAATAAGGAATAAAAAAAATTAAATAAAAAAGCTCTTTCAAAACGTTAGTTTATATATCTTTTCAGAAATAAGCTTTTTGGGACCAATGAGCTATTTCAAAAAACTAATTTACTAAACACCTAAATTAATTTTTTTACTGATCAAACATTTAAAAACTCTTAAATAAGCTCATAAACTATTTGTCAAACAGCCTATTGATATTTCAAATATATATATATATATGAAACACTAGTGGTGTGAGAGTGAGTTCAAAAACCTGTAATGTCACTTTGATCTTGCAAAAAACTAACCATCTTTATATTACGTTCTCTCATTGTACCATTAATTTTTCAAAACGAGCAACAAATTGTTTGGTTGATTTCTCTACTTAGATTGTCTCCCGTTGCTTGTGCTTTTGAACCTAGTGAGCTTTTATATTTAAGGTGTGTAATAATCGACAAAATACTTCAAAGAGTTGAAAATAAGCATAAATCTAGAAATTTCTAGTGGTGAGTAGAAATAAAGTTATTAGATGCTTGAGTTGCAACTTGAAAAATTATTAGTTGATTATATAATGAGTTGGGTCTCAATTTTTCTTTTTTTATTTTAGGTTTTATTCATATATGGGTTAAGGTAACAATTGCCCTCAAAAGTATCGATCCAATTAGAATTTTGTGTACAAATTAAAAATTTTATAAATGATATTTTTTGCATAGGTTCCAAATGATTTAAAATTGGATTACTTCAAACATATCATTTTTTTTTCTCTTAGTTATTTTTTTTCTACTTGGATTTCAATTTTCTTATTCACAATCTTTTTTTCATTCTTTCTCTTCCCCACAAATATTGATCACTATCTTTATTTTTTCTCTTGTCAATGCTCCAATCTTTACGTGCCAAGTTTCTTATTTTTTTCATCAGGTTACCATCGTTCTTTACCTCTGGGTGCTAATTTCTTTTCATTCTACCTCTGATTTAATGAAGAATTTCCGGTGTTTCATAAAATAAAGCTCCTATTGGCCCGTCGCCTACCGAAAATCCACCCCCAAGAACTCTTCCAATTGTGGTTAGGGTTTTCCGAGCTAGTCTTTGTGGCTTGCTTCTTTTTGCTTTGGGCAATACCAATATACATAGAGAAAAAATTCATATTGAGTGGAGGTATTATTTTATTAGCTTACCATTGGTTCATGTCATCTAGAAGTTTTCCTTCAAATTTCATTTGTATTCCAAGCTTCTTGCTGGGTTTGGTTCTTCAGTTGAACATATGAAGCCATGGTTGGGAATCTATGGCATGATGGGGAGATTTATGATATGGTTATTCCGTGTGTTAAACCCTTTCATTGAGATAGTGAAGTCATCAAAGCATTGTTAGGTTTTTTTAAATTCTCAGATCAATACATTCATTTTCCTTTTAGTTTGATTAGTTCTATGGTTTTAGATATTGTAGCAATACTTGGATTGTTAGTTAGGGGGCTAGAGCCTCCCTTATTACCAATGAGCTCTTATAACAAAGTGGTGTTTACAACAAGTAATAATAGTATAATTTATTTTTCAACCATTCATTTATGCCAACAAAAGGGTTGGTATTATGATGAATGTTGCATAATGCTCTTCTTTTTTACTAGTTTACAAGTTCTTCATTTGCTTCAACGCTAAGGTTTTTGTTTGGGAGGTCAAACATATAGTAGTTGTTGTTTGTTGTGTATCTAGAAGAGGTATTTGATTTAGCCTTCTATTTTCTCAAATTTTTGTATAAAAGATGATCAATAATTTTTTTAAAAGATATCCACTTTGGGGATTAAGGATCATTGTTCATAGAACTTATCAATCCCGCACCTAACTCACCCATGAGTCTAGTTTCATCGAGTCTTGATCGTGTTCTCCAAGAAGGCCCCACTGTGAATGGAAAAATTTATTATTTTATGTATTTACTCTTTCATAATGATCATTGAACTTTTGGATATTCACCATTGGGTCAATCGGTTAGGTGGGCAGGCCAACAGAGTGTCATCAGTTGATGTCTCATGTTGGAATAAATGTGTGGCAGCCGAGGTGATTTTTTTGGTTTTTTTCCAAGCTTCTGATATCATCCATTAGTTTCTAAGATCTATCAACCATTTTTAGCTCGCCAATTCGGTTTTGCCCAAGGTGTTTCCATAGCTAGTTTTGTCTTGATGCTCTCGACTGTGATACAATATGAAGTTCTTACTAGAGATGCCGCTAAATGGTGTTCTTTTCTAGAACTCGTAGAGGGGCACCCATACATTCCATTTGAATTTGGGGATAAAACTATTGCAGCCTTTGAAACATGGCAAGACAATTTTTGTAGGCGGCTTGTTTATTGATGATATGATGGCCTCTCATGATAAAATGATTTATGACTATTTAAAAGATACGGTCGTCTCAATATGTAACATGCTTAAGTATCTTTCATTCATATGGTTTAGTATTTATCTGATGAGAACATATTGTAGATGTTTCTATTCAGTAGGAGGTTTCATCAGTCCCAGAAAATTGGTTTTCTTCTCCTACCACTCATCATTATCTTAATGCTTAGCAGTTCCAAAACTAACCCTTTGCATTATTGCTTTGAAAACAATCAAACAATCTCTTGAAACATTACCAGCTAGTCGGGTGTGTAACACTCTTCACCCTTGCAACTTTATTTTCAATTACATTTCATAATTTTTTTTCCTTGTTCACAAGCTAGATTTATAACATGTTCCAAGTTACTCCTTCTGGAAAACCTTAACTCATAAAGCTTGAAATACAAACTCTTATCCGATCATTTCACTCTTTCCTACCGAGATGGAAATATTAGTTATTTGCTTTGTGAATATTTTTATTTTGCACTCCTTTTTATATATATTCTTACATGTTTTGATTTACTCTTATTTTCATAGAGAATGATAAAACATTTTTTTTCCTTTAAGCTCCAAGATCATTTTCCGAGTTTTTGTTCTTTTGAGGCCTCCGATAGAATAGCCTCTTTTTTAAAAAAAAAAAATCCTATTTTGAAGGGATTAAGGTATGCATGATTAAGGTATGCATGTTTAAAAAAATCCTATTTTGAAGGGATTAAGGTATGCATGTTTATTGTATTCTATTTTGATTTTATGCTTATTTATATGGATGTGCTCTATGATCTAAAGGCATTTTACTAGTAAAGACTCTACATATGGTCATTCTCCTCCAAAGAGAGGTAACTTGTTTCAAAATCTTAAGAGATCGTATGGTAATTTATAGTGGCAACACCATGTTCTGACTATAAATAAGTTGAAAAATGATATAACTCATGTATAACGATTTTGCATTATGATATACCCAGAAGACATCCTCATGACTTGATTTTGTTAGGCTTGCATTAGTGAATGGCTTTAACCTACTTAGTGAAATAGTCTATGGCTACAAGAATAAAATGTAGGCTTCACATCTTGTGAGCACACCCTGAGACCTCATATTTATACTACACAAACTAAACCATTGAACTACACTTGCATTTTTAACATAAAATCATTTATTAATATACTTATAAATTTATTTTTTAAAATTATATTTAATCTAAAATTTTGGCTGGGCTAGGCACGGCCCGACATTGATAGGCCCGAGCACGGCCTGGTTCATCCTCGTGTCGGGCCAGACATGGCCCAAATTTTTTCGGGTCTATATTTCTAGGTCCAAGCACGATTTTTTTATTTCGGGTTGTGATCGAATTTTCGGATCGTACCTATTTTTTCCAACTCTAATATCACCAATTTATTTTTCTATCAACATAAACTTTTTAATAAAGTTTTAACTAGATATATTCTCTAGACACGTTCGTTCTGAGAAATATTGTACACACATACTTAATGTACTTGTAGATAGTACATTGTACATGTAAAACCATGTTTAATTATAGCGTACTTACCATGTTTTAATCTATGAAAATTTCCATAGATTGATTTATTGAATTAAATTGCAGTGTACTTACCTTTCTTCACTCTAAATTTGTCTTTCTTTTCCCTATTATCTCATTACATATTACACATATATATATTTATATAAGACGGTTAGGGTTCTTTATAAATCAAAATATATTTTGCTACATGCAATTATATAATATGTTATTTAAATATGTGTTTTATATTATATCAATATTTGTTATTTTCTTTATAAATATTTGTTAACTGATCAAATTAGCATTGTATTAACT